AGGATCCCCCCAGGCAGGGCCCCCCGTCGCCCTCAGTGCTGGAAGGCGCCTGGTGCACAGGGGGGCACTGCAAAATAAGGCATTAATTAATAATGCTAATTAATGGTGCATTCCCTGGAAGGATAGGCCCTGCCTGCTCTCATGGGTGTCCTGCAAGAGCCTCCCATGGGTGCTGGGATCCCAGCTGGAAAGGGGCAGGTGCCCCCAGATCAGAGCACAGGGCTGGGATTGACCTCCCAGATCCCATGGGGAGGGTCCTGCTGGGCCAGGATTGACCCTGCAAACTCCAGGGGCAGGATTCCACCAGGCTGTGCCCCTGAGAAACCCCTACATCCTCAGAGCTGCTCAGCCACTGGTGTTCAGCCTTTCCAGCCCCATCCCTCCATCCCAGGACACGTGAGGGCTCAGATGGTGCCACGGCCACATTGGCAGCGTGGTGCCCACCTGCCCCCACATTCCTGCTCTCCTGCACCACCAGCTCCTCTGTAACTGCTCCTGCCCCGGCAGCTTCTTTAGGTAACAGGCGCAATTATCCCCAGGGATAATCCCTGACCAGGGGGTCAGGGTGGCTGGAGGAGGGTGGCAGGTCCCACCTCTGTGCTTTTGACCACCCGTCCCATGGATGGGGCAGCACCAGGAACCAGCTGGCCCCAACACTCTGCTGGAATGTTCTCACTGGAACTGGTGCTCCCCAGGCACCAGCTGCTCACCCCCTACCCCAGCTTTTCCCCCCACCGAGACCCCCAGCAGCAGCTCGGCCTCGTCACCGAGAGAGCAGCGGCAGCAAGGCCGGGTGACAGGGCAACAGCTGCCCGTGCACAGGCAGGTCCCTCCGGGGCGGGCACAGGGATTGGATTAATTAATCTCGCCTGGAGGGCGGGCGCCAAATGAAGCCGGTGACAGTGACACCGCCCGGGGAGCAGCTGGGCCCCTCGGCGTGAGGACAGCTGGTGTCACACACCGGGCAGTGGCACAGCGTGCTGTGGTGGCACTCGGGTCGCTGGGGGTGGCACTCTTCGTGCCACAGGCACCTCTGACGGGCCCTGGGGACACGGGGTGTGAGGACATGGCATGCTGCTGGCATTGTCACCGGCGGCACTGGTGGGCTGGGGGGGTGGTGTGAGGTAACAAGGGTGGCAGCAGTGCCAGCCAAGGGATGGAGACCCCAAGGGATGCAAGTGTGAGGGCACTGCGGCCACAGGGGCACAGAGGGCTGCAGGGGATGGCACCGTGACCAGGGAGACACAGGTGTGATGCCACTGTGGCTCAAGAAACCCCAAGGGACACAGGCATGATGCCACCGTGGCCAGACGGAGCTGGTGGGATGCAGGTGTGATGCCACTGTGGCTGGAGGGACCCGAAGTAACAGAGGTGGCACGGCCCCGTGCCTTGAGGGACCCCAAGGGACTCAGGCGTGATGCCACCGCGGCTCAAGGGATGCCAAGGGATACAGGTGTGATGCCGCCAGAGCCAGAGGGATCCCAGGGACGAAGATGTGATGCCACCAGGGCCTGAGGGACCCCCGTGCTCTCTGCAGTTGCTGATGTTGAGCAGGGCGGCCGTGCCGTGTCCTGGTGCCATTCCCGGCGTGTGGATCCCGCAGCGCAGCTCCCGCTGCCTCAGCGCGGGGAGGGTGAGCAGCTGTGGCCGGTCCCTGCTGTCCCCGCTGTCCCCGCTCCCCCCGCTCCCGCCTGACCTGGTTTCCAGCTCCGAGGGCTCCTCGTTATGCAATCGCCGCCGAATTCCTGCACAAGCAGAAATGGCCGACAGTCCCCACATCCCACAGCCCGGGGGTGACCCCGCGTGCCCCGACCCCTGGCGCGCACCCCCCGACCCACGGCCGTGCCCGCGGCAGGAGGGTGCCGGGAGGGACTCAGTGTCCCCTGGGCCATGTCCCCCAGTGCCACGGGGCTTGTGCCACCCCTGGCACGCAGCAGCCGTGGGGTGCGGGAGCGCTGCTGGCACTGGCAGCACGTGGCAGTGGCTGTCCCTGGGGACACAGCGTGTGTCACACGGGGGTGCGAGGGCAGGTGGGCACGGCGCGGTCCGGTACCCCCGGGGAGGGGCCGCAGCCACCCCGAGCCGGGACAGGCTCCGTGCCGGGTTCCCGGCACCTGCGGCCACACCCGCGGGGTCCCGCCCGGCGCCGTGTTTGCCCACCGATAACCCCGCTCGGCGCTCCCCTGGGTGGGGGAGAGGGGAGGAGGAGGGCTGGGATGAAGGGCAGGAGCGCAGCAGCGGCTGGAGCGCAGGCATCGATCCGGGGATGGAAGGAGCCGCAGCGGCCGGGGGAGCCCGGGGAGCAGCCCCGGCCCCGGGGTCTGGCGCTGACACGAGCCCCCGGCCACGTGTGAGGGGACACCGGGTGTCCCCAGCTGTGGCCCCCCCTCGGAGGCTGCCCGGGGGGGGGGCTGCGGGGGTCGGGGCTCGCCCTCCCCGCAAATCAGTGGGGTCCCTGGGGTACACGGGATCCTTGAGGGGTCCTTGGAGTGCACAGAGACCCTGGAGTCTTCCTGAAGTGTTTGGGGTACCTGGGGTACATGAGGTCCTTGAGCTCTCCGTGGGCCGCATGGGGTCCCTGCTGTCTCCTTGGTGCACGTAGAGACCTTGGGGTCACCCTGGAATCTCCGTGGGGCTGAGCCCATCTGCTGCCCCTCACGCTGAGCAGGAACTGCCCCGCCCCCCCGCAGCTGGGGGTAATCGGGGTTAATTGCGGCTCTAATGAGGTGTGAAAGGGTTATTGCTTGTTGGATGAGCAGAGGGATAGGGACGGGGACGGGGTAGGGACAGGGACAGGGGTAGTGGTGCTGGTGGACTTGGCTGCAGCCCGCGCTGCTCCTGAGTTTGCACCCACGTCCCCGTGGCAGGGGGCACAGGATGGCTGGGGGGAACCCTCGCCGTGCTCGGGGTCCCGGGGTGGAGGTTGTGTCCGGGGACAGCTCGGGGCACACCGAGGCCTCACCAGAAACCGCGGTGGGTCCGTGTCCCCTGGCAGGGGGTGACGGCAGGAACCTGCGGGGGTGAGGTGGTGGGCACGGGCTGACAGGGGCTCTGGCAGGGACGGTGCCGGTGCTGGGGACAGGCAGAACCCGTGGGCATGCCAGTGCTCCACAGAGTGCCGGTGTCCCACAGTGTGCCAGTGCCACGGTGGCAGAGCTGGGTGTGCAGTGACACTCAGTCCACGGGCACGTGGTGTCCCTGAGCTCTCATTTCTCGCTCCTGCTCTCACCTCACGCCAGGCTGAGGAGCACGAAGCTGCCCCAGGCCCCCGACTCTGGAAAGGATCTGGATCTTTCCCACCGAGGCACCTAATCCCTAAAACGAATGAGCACCAGGAGAGGGGCAGCGCTGTGCCAGATCGGGGCTGGGGAGCAGCGGGGACGCACCTGCACCCGGGATCCCATGGATTCTGGGAGTAGGGTTTTTCCATCGGTGGCTCTGCTGGGATGGCGTGAGCAGGGGGTCCCTTGGCAGTGGTGGTGGGAGGGTCCAGCTGCCCGGCATCATCGCTGGGTCTGGCAGTGGGAACTGGGCATCCCCTGGGAGAGCTGGTGCCAGCTGTGACCCTCCACCAACCCGGGGCACGAGGCTTCTGCTGTCACTGGCCCTGCATTGGAGGGAGCGGCGCTGAACCGACCCAGCACCCGTGGGGAGTCTCTGGTGAGGGGCCAGGGGCTCTGCTGTGGGTGCTGCCACCTCGACGCCCCCCGAGCCCGTCCTGCAGCCGCCAGATGTGTGGGGCGTGCGGTGGGGGCACATCTGGCGGCAGGGCAGCTGTGGCGCCGTGCCGAGGGCCCGAACACTGGCAGCTCTGTGCGCTCCCTGCAGCCATGACCAATGCGGGAATCTCCGGCTCTGCCGCGCGGCCCCAGGCACAGCGCCGGCAGCTGCTCCTGCCTCCGAGCAGGCGCTTCCCTTCTTTCCCTTTTTCATCAGATCCCTGCCTTTCCCACATGGCGAAGGGACAAGACACCCCGCAGGGAGAAGATGGATTTATTAAATATTTGGCGGATGACAGAACATGGCTCCCTGCTCACAGGCTGCTCTTGGAGACGTTCCCCGCGCTTATGGCATCGGCTCCGGCGCAGCTTCGCCAGCTGCTCCCAGGGACAATCCCCCTCCCAGGGACAATCCCCCTCCCAGGGACAATCCCCTCCCAGGGACAATCCCCCTCGCTCCCGCGCTCCTCCGTGCCCACAGGAATAGGGAACGGCACTGCAGCTTGGTGCAACCCCCAGGGACGCTCGGGCTGCAGGGGCACGGCCGGGCCTTGGGGATCCACAGAGCCTTCGAGCACGTCTGTGCCCAGGATGGCACGAGCAGCCAAGGCCACCGCTGTCCTTGTGCATGGCACCAACTGACCAGCTGGTGAGGGGCCCCACGTGGCTCCCATCCCTATTCCCTGCCACATGGGAAGGGAGGTGTCCCTCTCCTGGCATTAACCCCAGCACCAGATGGGGGACACCAGTGCAAGGACATGGCTCTGCCCCGGGGAATTCCCATGGGAAAATGTTTTAAGGTGCGCTTTCCTTCAGGTGGGTTTTGCCCCAGGGAATTGCAACATTCCCTGGCAATCCCAATCCGGTGGGTGCTGCCAGTGTGAGCCCTCCATCTGGCAGTGGGAGGACTCCAACCCCTGTGCAGCTGTGACATCCCCAGCTCCTGATGCCTGTCACCACCCCGGCAGGGCCACTGGCAAAACATCCCTAGTTTTGGTGCTTGGATCTGCCCATAGCCACAGCTAAGGATGCTGCAGGACTTGTCCCTGTCCCCATCCTCATCTTCATTCACATTCCTGTCCCCAACTCCCTTCTCATCCTCTGTCCCCATCTCCATCCCCATCCCTATCCCTGTCCCTGTCCCCCATCACTGTTCCCATCCCCATCCCTTTCCCTGTCCCCATTCCCATCCCTGCTTGACTTGACTGTGCCATTCCAGGTTCTCATCGCTCCCCTTCCCTCCTTGGCAGCTCATTCCCAATATTTACACCCAGCCAAACCTGTGGCCACCATGGGTGTTTATTCCCCCTCTCCTGTGGGCTGGAGGGACCCAGTGAGTGCATTCCCGTGGGCCCCGGGTCGGTGCAGGGAGCGGCAGAGCCGAGGGCGCTCCCAGGGTTTGTCGCTCCCTTCCATCCATCACCCTCCATAAATATTTATAGATGCATCAGGGCCCTCGGCTCCTTCCACTAAAAATAACATTCCTAAGCACCACGGGGAAAAAAAATGCTGAAAACCACCCATGACTGGGACTGGTGGCCATGATTTGGGAACCAGTGATGGAAGAGGAGCCCAGCGCAGGTCAGAGGGGATCTGCCACCCCCCTCTCCATTATTTCCTTTGATTTTAACCAAAACTGGACCCAACTCCTGATGCTGGGAGTGGAGGTGCAGCTCTCAGCCTGGCCGTGCTCCTCCCCAGATTCCCTGCTCAGGATGGGAGAGCTTTTCACCATCACAGCCCCCCTGGTTGGACACCCCGTCACCTGCACCCACCCCCAGGAGGACACACCCCACACCTGACTCCAGCGTGTCAGAAGGTGGGTTTTTGAGAGAGAATCCCCTTCATGCCACGCAGGAGGGACCCCAGGAGGGTCTGCACTCCTTTTTCCACACGCACAAGGAGGAAGGGCCCGCGTGTGACGTGACGGTGGCACCGTCTGGGAGGAGATAGGAACGGAGCCGCACACGGAGCGGGAACAGCCACCAGCAGTTTCCTTTCAGCTTGCTTTTTTTTTTGTTTGTTTTTTTTTAAGCCTCCCATGACTCGCTGAGCCGGGTGGGACATGGTGTGGTCATCGCTGGGAAACACACCGAGGGAACATGCAATGGCCTAAGGGCAGGTGCCCGCGGAGAGTCCTCCGGGTGTTTTGGGGAGAGCCCCCCGGGTGGTTCTGGGAGAGCCCTCCAGGTGGCTTTGGGAGAGCTGTGTTGGCAGCAGGTGGTGGAGATCGGTCACAGTTGCACGATGGTGATGGATGGGCTGGCACGTGCCTCTTCCCACGGGTGGCAGACGTCCCTCGATCGCAAGCGCAACCTCCGTGCCTGCGGCACCAGAAACACCCGTCAGGATCCACAGAGAGCAGAGCTCCAGCCCAGCCCCGCGGGGCAGAGCCAGAGCCACGTGTCCCTGCTGGGACCTGGGCAAAAGGAGGCTCAGGGGGGACCTTCTCACTCTCTGCAACTCCCTGACAGGAGGGGGGAGCTGGAGAGGTCGGGCTCTGCTCCCAGGGAACAGGGACAGGAGGAGAGGGAACGGCCTCCAGCTGTGCCAGGGGAGGGGCAGGTTGGATATCGGGAACAATTCCTTCCTGGAAAGGGCTGTCCAACCCTGGCACAGCTGCCCAGGGCAAGGTTGGAGTCCCCATCTCTGGCAGGATTTAAAAGCCATGTGGATGTGGCACCTGGGGACAGGGGTTAGTGGTAGCCTTGGCAGTGCTGGGGAATGGTTGGGCTCAGTGGTGTCAGAGCTTTTCCAACCTCAGTGATTCCATGACTCTATGACCTCCTGAACTTTCTGTGCACCCCTGGGGCCACCCCTGGAAAGCTCAGGGCAGACCCAACCTGTGGCACCCACGAGAGTCCCGCTGACCCCAGAGCTCCTCGTCCTCAGACCTCAGAGAACCCAGGACACATGAACTCCTAAGTCCCTGACAGCTGGACACACAGGACTGGGAGGAACCTGAGGAATCGGAGAATTCCAGGATCACTGAGGCTGGAAAAGCCCTCCCAGCCCATGGATCCCCCCCATGCCCCATCCCCACCCTGTCCCCCAGCCCAGAGCACTGAGTGCCACTCCAGGCCTGCCTGGGACACCTCCAGGGCTGGGGACTCCAAACCTCCCTGGGCAGCCCCTGCCAGTGCCTGACCACCCTTTCCAGGGAGAAATTCTTTCAGGTGGAAGAGCCACCACAGTTTAAAGGGCTGTTTTAGCTTTTTTGTCCTTTTTCATTCTTTCTGGAGGATAAAGAAGCCTGAAAGTGGTTCCCCTCTCTCATTTCCTCAGTGGTCTCTAATTCAGAGCTTGTCAGCTGCTCCTTGGAGGTGCTGGAGGCCCTGCTGGGCTCTGGGGGGGGCAGGAGCTCCTCATCTCCACATCAGTGCCGAGGGGTGACAGGGGCTCAGACATCCCTTTCTGCAGAGCCCTCAGGGTAGAGGGACGTGAAGAAAAGCCACACTCTGCTGGCCCAACCAGCTACCCGTGCTGGCTCCCCCTCCAACGCTATAATTTCACTCCTTCTTGAGTTACCAGATTGTTTCCCAGATGAGGCAGGACTTGAATTTCTAATGCAAAAACTGTCAAAAGGCTCCCAAGCCCCTCTGGGGTTCTCTCCTTCCGCTCCTGAAATGGCTGGGAGACAGGAAGGGCAAATCCCTTTTTTCTCCTTTGCCAGTTGCCTGCACAGGACACTGGTGGGAACTGGTGGTGGGTTTATCCTAAATTGTGGTTGGATCCATCACTGATTCTCCTGGGCCATGACCACAGGGGCTGGGGCTCAGTTACAGATAAGAGACCTTCTCCTCCTTGGTTCCTACAACCACCCAACCTCCAGTGTGAGGGAAAAGGTCCCAGAGGAAGGTCCCCTCCTGCCCCTGCCCCTGTCCCTGTCCCTTTCTGGCCAATGACAGGTGCACCCATGGTAGGTTTTGTGCCAGGACCCTGCTTCCCAGGGGGAATGGGGAGTGATGGGAATTGTGGCAAACATCCAGGGAGTGTGGAAACCTGAGCAGTGCCCTCCTAGGAGCGTTTCAGGTGGGGGAGATAAGGATCTGGTTCAGGTCTGTGGCGACATTGTCACACTTGTCACACAGAGCTCCCTCCCCCTCCCGCCCTCGGATCCACTTGTCTGTCTGTCCATCTGTTGGGCCTTGTTATGACTTAAAGCCCCGGCTTTCTGAGGGTGGAGGTGGTGGTTGTGGTACATCTGGACAGTGTCCATCACCACGGGTCCCACATCCCTGCCGAGACCTCTCGCTATGGAAGTGACACCAACAAAATGGGGGACAACGCTGCTCCCACTGAGGGTAACAGTGTTTTCCCACTTTGGGGAGACCTTGGAGCCCCTTCCAGAGCCTGAAGGGGCTCCAGAAGAGCTGGAGAGGGACTGGGGACAAGGCATGGAGGGACAGGACACAGGGAATGGCTTCCCACTGCCAGAGGGCAGGGAGAGAGGGGAGATTGGGAAGGAATTGTTGGCTGGTGAGGGTGGGCAGGCCCTGGCACAGGTTAGGCAGAGAAGCTGTGGCTGTCCCTGGATCCCTGGCAGTGTCCAAGGCCAGGCTGGACGGGGCTTGGAGCAACCTGGGCTGGTGGGAGGTGTCCCTGCCCATGGCAGGGGGAGGAATGGGATGAGCTTTAAGTCCCTTCCAACCCAAACCTTTCTGGGATTTATGAAAAACACCCTTTTGAACATTGCAGAGTGATGGGCAGGTGGGACTGTTCCTGGTGTAGAAACAGGAGGGGAAGGATGGGAGCAGGAAGTTGACAGGAGCTCAGTCCTATGCACTGCTGGAGGTGGGAAGAGAAATCCATCCATCCTTACCTGAATTGCTGTCCAGCCTCGGCTGCCCTTCTAACCTGCAACACAGGGAAGGGCACTGTTAGGAAATGGATCCTTTTATTTCCCATACAGTGAAAAATCTACTCCCCCATCTCTTATTTCTCCAAACTGGACTCCCCTAGAACTGCACATCTGGGGATGCACAGCAAGCCCTCCGAAAGGCAAGTGGAAAAATGCTGATCCCCAGAGCCCAGAAATCCCAGCATGGCCAGGGTGGGATTGGCCATTCCCAGTCCTCAGAGCAGCGTCAGCCCACAGGCTGCTCAAGACCTTCTCCTTGAGGTTTGAGGATCTCCAGGGGTAGAGACCCCACAGCCTCTTGGAGCAACCTGTGCTTGGCCAGCCTTGGGGAAAAAAAGTACTTTTTATGTCCAGACAGAATTCCCAAGTGCCTGTTGCCTCCTGTCCCCTCCCCCGGCACCTTGGAGAAGACTCTGCCTCAGTTTTCTTTAGTCTCTCCCACCAGTTCTTTGCACACATTGATTTGATCCAAGTGCTCTCAGCCCCCCCAGGAGTCACCTTTATCACTGTCACAGGGCAGGAGTATTCCACAGAATCCCAGAAGTTTGGGTGTGAAGGGACCTTAAAACTCATCCCATTCCAGCCCCTGCCATGGGCAGGGACACCTCCCACCAGCCCAGGGTGCTCCAAGCCCCGTCCAGCCTGGCCTTGGACACTGCCAGGGATCCAGGGGCAGCCACAGCTTCTCTGGCCAACCTGTGCCAGTGCTGAAACCCAATTTAAAATTGGATGTCTCTAAGAAATTTGATGGGGCAGCAAACTGTGCTTTCCCAGCAGTTTGAGCTGATTCCAGCTCTTTAGTCCCTTTTCCCACGGAGAGTCTCAGGTGACACTGTCCTGGGTTCACGCCCTGGGCACCAAGAGGCACGTGGTCCTGGAGGAAGGGCAGCAGAACCCTGCTGCAAACAGGGACTGCAGGACAGCCCTGGCAGAGCCACTGTCCCACCTGGAGTGACACCCGGCAGAGGTGAACACATGGGCACGCAATGCCAGGTTCCAGGCTGGGGGAACACTGAGGCTGAGGTGGCTTTGCCAGCTCCCAGCTGTGCTCTTCTGAGCCTGGAAAACTCGTGGGCGTCTCTGGAGACGTCTCACGGACGTCTGCTGGGTCTGCGATCCCAACCACAAGCCGTGGAGCCAACTTGGAGGCCTCCCGGATGATTTCATCCCCCTGAAGCTGTACCAAGTGTGGGGATGTCATTGTCTCCAGCAGGGAGGAGAGTGCTGGGATTGATTACCAGGACCCAGGGAAATAGGAAATAACTTCACAAAGAAACTTCTGAGGAAGCCCAGGGATGACATCCCTAGGAATGGTTTGAAACTGAGAGAGGATCAGTTTGGATTGGAGATCAGAAAGAAATTCTTCCCTGTGAGGCCCTGCACAGGTTCCAGCGAAGCTGTGGCTGCCCCATCCCTGGAAGTGTCCAAGGCCAGGCTGGACTGGGCTTGGAGCAACCTGGGCTGGTGGGAGGTGTCCCTGCCCATGGCAGGGGTTGGAATTGGATGAGCTTTAAGGTCCCTTCCCACCCAAACCATTCCATGAATATTCTCTGAACCCCATCACAGCGGAGTTCCCGTGAGGACCAGCATGTCCCTTGTCCGTGTCTGTAGGAGCTGGGGGATCTGTGAGCTGCCAGACACTGAGACCCTCACCACGGGGTCTGGAGCAGCCCCCACGGTGCCCACGCTGAAGGGCCGCACTTACATATTGATTATTCCTCTATTTCCCTGCCAGATTTTACCTCACTGACTCTGGGACATTAAGAAATCACTTTTTCCCTGGCAGAGAGAATATTTACATTCCACACGGAGGCTTTTGGATCCAGCTCTGCTTTTGGACACACATCCCAGCCGTCCCTCCCCGACTCCGATGAGTAACGGCGTGGTTTGTGTTACATCTCTGCTCCCATACATCATATTCCAGCTCCTCAGAATCCCCCTTCCCCTGTTTCCCATGCAAGATGCAATGCATATTTGGAAAAACCAGATGGGTCATCTGGTAAGCATCTAAAATATTCCACTGGGGAGGAATGTTCTGGGGCAAAGAGGGTCCTGTGACTTGGAGCCAAGGAGATTCTGCTTTGGAAACTCCTGTCTTAGCCAAAACCAGGCTTCCTACCAAGTGCTCCTTCATACCAAAATACTGGTGGGCAAAGGAACAGAGAGCTTCCAAACACCTGGGTGCTTTGCAGAACTCACTGGATGGGAAAGCTCAGGAAAACGAGCTCCTTTTTGGAGAAACGTGAGATGTGCTGGCTCAGCACAGCCAGAGGGAAATGTGTGTGCCTGTAACAAAATAAGGCTAAAAAGTCCCAGTTTGTTGACGCTGGAATTAGGTTTGGCTCAAGCCAGACAAATGCCTGGGCTGATTCAAACCCCGCCAAGTCTGCTCCTCGTGTTTGGGTCTGGAACATGGAAAGCAGAAGCCAAAGGAGCCCTGAGCGAGGTCCCGGCCCCGGGACGGCCCAGGAGGAGCTCTGTGGAGCACGAGGTGGGGAGCAGAGCCCGGCAGATCCCCCTCCACCCCCACCCTGCACGGGGGTCTGAAAATCCTGAGGCCACCACGATCACTTCCAGCTGGAATAACTCCTGTAGGATGTGCCGTGGATTCACTGGCACCGGAGATAAGGTCTGGGGGGATTAATGTGGAGACCAGGGAGAGAGGGGCGACAGGGACCTCCTGTGACGCTGATGGCACTGCCCACGTGGGATGGCCATTGGCACAGGGGCTCTGGACACTTGGCCAGCCAAGGTCACTGAGGGCAGGGGCTGGGCAGGTGATGGTCTCACCACTCAGACACTTCACTGGTGACACCCCCCACACTTTGGGTTTTGTCTGATCCATCCACCTGAGCTGGATTTCCCACAGCACCCAGAGCAGTTCCTCCTCCTCCTCTCACACATTTCTGTGTGTGACCTTTGCTGGAAGAAAAACATCCCTGAAAGCTGAACACACACAGCAAAGGGACCGTGGCCGTGACATCACCCCGTGGCAGATGTTGGAGAGAGGGACAGTGACTGGAGCTGGCAGGAAAACCTGTGGCATGGGGGTCCTTCACCTGGAGCCACCTGCACCCAGAGCCATCCACCTGCATCCAGAGCCATCCACCTGCATCCAGAGCCATCCACCTGCATCCAGAGCCATCCACCTGCATTCAGAGCCATCCTCCTGCATCCAGAGCCATCCACACTCATCCAGAGCCATCCATTCTGCATCCAGAGCCATCCACCTGCATTCAGAGCCATCCACCTGCACCTGGAGCCATCCACCTGCATCCAGAGCCATCCACACACATCCAGAGCCATCCACCTGCATTCAGAGCCATCCACCTGCATCCAGAGCCATCCACCTGCACCCAGAGCCATCCACCTGCACCCAGAGCCATCCACACACATCCAGAGCCATCCACACACATCCAGAGCCATCCACCTGCACCCAGAGCCATCCTCCTGCACCCGGAGCCATCCACACTCATCCAGAGTCATCCACCTGCACCCAGAGCCATCCACACTCATCCAGAGCCATCCACACTCATCCAGAGCCATCCACCTGCATTCAGAGCCATCCACCTGCATCCAGAGCCATCCACACTCATCCAGAGCCATCCACCTGCACCTGGAGCCATCCACCTGCATTTGGAGCCATCCACTTGCATCCAGAGCCATCCACCTGCACCCAGAGCTCCTGGTGGGGCTCCAGAGATGGTGAACACACAGAGGAGCAAGTCGCAAAACACTTCCCAGCTCTGAGACACGTCTGTCCCCTCACCTCGGTCCTTCCCATTCTGCAGCTTCCCTGTTTCTTCTTCGTCTTCTTCCTCTGCTTCAGGAGAAAAAGAAAAGAAAAAAAGCTGACAGGAGACAGGTGGGTGAGAGAAGAGAGAGAATCATGGAATTGGAATTGTTTGGGTTGGAAAAGCCGTCCCAGACCACTGAGTCCAACCATCCCCCAGCACTGCCAGGCCACCACTAACCCACGTCCCCACGCGCCACATCCACATGCCTTTAAAGTCCCTCCAGGGATGGGGACTCCACCACCTCCTTGGACAGCCCCTTACAGTGCCTGACAACCCTTTCCAGGAAGGAATTCCTCCTGGATTTCACTGGTTTCCTGGTGAGAGCTGGGGGTTTGTTGTGTTTAACTGGGGATAAGCAGAGTGAGTTTCTGGCCAGGCCTGTATTTGCACAGCAGAGTGGCAGCAGGAGGTCACATTCTGCCCCAGCTGTGGCTCTTATCTTGCTTCAATGAGACCTGTGCAAACAGGTGATGGTTGTCCTGAGGGAGATGTCGCTTCTGCCTCCACACACAGAGCAAAGAAAGGGAGAAACCCTCCAGTGAGAGGCACAGCTGGAGAACTGGAGGTGTTTGCAACGCACCTGGTCCAAGGGACCTGATAAACATGTCCTTTGTGGCTTTGAGAGCAGGATGGTGAAACACAGGGGTCACACAGCCCACGCCCACTCGGCAGTGGCTGCAGGGGGTCCTTAATGTGGGAGCCAAGGAGAGCAGGGACAAAACCAAATGCACTTGGAATAACCAGAAGTGTGACCTGGAGCTCAGCGTTGGGTCTTGGACTTGCCTCCTACGTGAAGACCAGCACCCTGGGTCTTTAGGTTCAGACAGAGTAAAAATGGGATCAGTGTTCCCTCAGAAGCACAGGCAGCATGAGATTACTGTGTGGATTATTGAGTGGCCCTTGAGGACATGGGTTAGTGATGGCCTTGGCAGTGCTGGGGGAACAGCTGGACTTGAGGGTCTTGGAGATCTTCAACCTCAGTGATTTTGTGATTCTGTAATTCTGTGACTCCAGGATTCTGTCACAGAATCACAGAATCTCCAAGGATCATCCAGTCCAACCCCTGGCCCTGCACAGACACCCCAGCAATCCCCCCCTGTCCCTCAGAGCATTGTCCAAACCCTCCCTGAGCTTTGGGGCTGTGCCCATTCCCTGGGCAGCCTGTTCGGTGCCAACCACCCTCTGGGAGAAGAGCCTTTCCCTAGGATCCAGCCTGACCCTGCCCTGACATCACTGCAGGAGAAGGCAGGAGAGGCCCATCAAAACATCCCGGGAAGCCTCCCAAGGACGGGGTGACACTGCAGTGTCCCCCTTCCAAGGGAATCTGTTCCCTGGGCTGGAGCAGAGGCACCAGAGGCACACAGAGGGTGGGAGGTGCAGGCACTGGTGCCTCCCAGACCCTCCCCACACCCCTCCTGTGGCTGCACGGGGGAGCTGGGCCGGGGGAGGTGTCTGTTCCCACAGCTCACCTCCGGGACAGGATGTGTGAAATCCCGCTGGCTCTGTCAGCTGAGGATAACTCATGCTTTTCCTAATTTACACAACCATCTCAGACATTTCAGGGGAGCCTTCCTTGGTCTCTGCCTCTCCTCGAGCTGGAGCCTGCCAGTACCTCCATTTTCACTCCATTCTCACCCCCTTGTGATCCACACGGCTTTGCACATCCCTGACACGGCTGGGGGCCGGTGACAGGACCCAAGGGAACAGCTGGAGCTGTGTCAGGGAGGTTTAGGCTGGATTTAAGGAAAAGGTTCCTCTCCCAGAGGGTGTTTGGGCACTGAACAGGCTGCCCAGGGAATGGGCACGGCCACGAGGCTGCCAGAGCTCAGGGAGGGTTTGGACAACGCTCTGAGGGATGGGGGGGATTGCTGGGGTGTCTGTGCAGGGCCAGGGGTTGGACTGGATGATCCTTGGGGGCCCAACTCAGGATATCCCACAATTCCATGATTCTACAACACCTGCTCTGCTATGGAAAACAAAAAAATCAAAGGCTGCAGACCCTGCTCTGGGCAGGGGTTTGTTCTCCGTGTTTCAGCCGCGGGGGAAGCGCTGAGGTGATTTATGGGAGGAACAGGCGGCCCTGCCACGGCACTGGCGGTGCTGCTGTCAACCATGGACAACTTTATTAACTCCCAGCTGCCTCCACAGCCAGGACACGGGGCTGGAGAGGGGGAATTTACTGCTGGGCAGTGAAACATCAGCCCTGTTTATCACTGTGACGGCTCCATCACGGGCAGAGCCTCGCGGGGTCTGTCACGGACCCCGAGGAGTCGAGGGGGGATTGTGAGACACAAGTGTGGGTGCAGCACAGGGCTGGGGGAGGTGGAACAGGGGCTAGGAGGGTCCATCTGGACACAGAACACCTTCCTTCTTCCTTACCAGCAAAGGCAGCCCAGGGACAGAATCCCAGGAGCGCTTGGGTTGGAAAAATCCCTCATGGATCATCAAGTCCAACCTGTGACTGATCCCCACCTTTTCAACCAGACCAGTGCCATGTCCAGTCATTCCTTGGACACCTCCAGGGTTGAGGACTCCACCACCTCCCTGAGCAGTCCCTTCCAGCGCCTGACCACTCTTTCCATGAAGAAATTCCTCCTGGAACAGGCTGCTGGAGCACTAAATGGTCACACCCCCATTGCTGACAAGGCCCGAGGCCCACAGGACACATCCCTCGGTGACGCAGGACCTGCTCTGGTCCCACCAGGGAGTTCAGCTCCCCTGGCACAGAGGGAATAATTCTCTGCTTTCCACATCGTTGTTCAATAACAAGGGATGCAATTGGCCTCATGTACATTCTATAAATGTGGTTACAGTGTCTGACAAGGATTCATGGCAGAGGGTCTCACCTCTGCCCAAGTACTGCAGGACTAAGCAGGAATTTGGGGGGACACACTCCAAAAATCTGCTCCAGCTTCTGACTGTGTCATTAATGGGCTCTGGCTTCCAGAAGTGGGACTGGGAGGTGGCCCCTCTCCCAGGAGATGCTCTGGAAAAGCAGCTCCGTGCTGTGATCCACGCTCTGATCAATGGGAGCAGCAGGGAGGGGATGGGGGTTGTCTCCATGGTGCCACTGGTGGGAACACTAGGGCTGTATCCACAGGGTATTGCCCTCCCCACCAGGGATAAAACCAATGGGAAGTCTCTTCAAAAGGTGTTGGAGTTCTCAGTGACACAACCATGGAATGACTGAGGTTGGGAAAGCCCTCCAAGATCATCGAGCCCATTCCCAGCACTGCCCAGGCCCAAGGGTGTTGGCTCTAAAAATGATTTTTCATTGAGAACACAGACACACAATCTCAGATGATTATGCTTTAGTTTTAACAAAAAAATCTCCAACCTGTGGCTTCCATTTCTCCTCTTCCTGTGCTGCTGAATCTTACCTGAATGCAGCTCCTTCACCAGCGAGGACATGGTGTTGGTGATGGAATCGGCCGCTACCAGCAGGTCATTGCGGAGGTTCCTCCTCGTACCTGGGGCAGAGCAGACACACAGAAGTCAGGAATCACCTGTGCCAGCTGCCACTGCCCCAGCTCCTCACGTCACCGTGCCTTCCCTGGTCCCCACCAGGTCCTCCCAGGGTGGTGCTGGGACACCCCCAGTGCCACTAAAGCAGCAGAGATGGGGATTTGCCCTGGCACAACCCATCTCTGCCTCATTCCTCTGCCTCCTGCTCCTCTCTGTGGCACGGCAGCACAAGGGCACAGACAGCCCCCCGTGACAGGGGCCAGGGGGTGGCTCCTCCTCTGGGCAGAGTCACTCTCGGTATCACTGAGGTTTGAGTGGGATAAAAGCTATTGGAGTTGTCACCCCCCCTGCACGGCTGGAGGAAGGAATCCCCTTCCTCAGTGTCACACAGCTGGGGGACTGGCACTGTGCTGTCCCCACGGTGACACCGACCTGCCTGGACATCCCTGTGCTGGAGGGACCTGCCTGTCCCACCAGGGACCCAAACACGGCCACGGCTGGGCCAGAATGTCCAGCACCAGCACGGGGACAACACTGGCACCGGGACCATCTGACTGGCTGCTGCCCAACAGAGATGGGTGAGGGATGATGCCTGTTGCCTCTTGTGATGCTGGGAACACAGGGATCCTCTTGGATCATGGCGGTGGCTGCCCCATCCCTGGAAGTGTTCAAGGCCAGGTTGGATGGGGCTGGGACCAGCCTGGTCTGGTGTTCCCCTGGTGAAACAGCTGGACAACACTGGGATCCCCCCTGGACACCTCTGTGCAGCAGCCCCTGGAGCCCTCCTGACTGGGACTTTCAATGATTTTATTACATGAAAACATCGCCATTTTATCCTGTTTCCTGTGTTCTCCACTGGCCTCGGATTTGCCTGATTTTGCGTGATTAATATGAAATAGCACTAATTGTGCAGACTGCCTTTCCGGAAGGATCGTTCCAGGAAACTTATTACAGAGTCTGGAGACCACTTTTTTTTTTTTTTTCTTGGAAGAGTTTTTCTAGTCACTGAATCAGCCACCACTGTGGTTATGAGGAGAGGAGTGCCCACCTTTCTGGTGGCAGCAGTGGATCCAAGAATTCCCAAGGGATTGTTTTCTTCTTTGTTGAGATGATCAACAGCAGAATTGATTTTATAACTTGATGGCAGCCAGAAACCATCAGGATGTTTTATGATAATACTGTCACACTTGGTGATCTCCAAACACCAGTCTTGGTAATCCTCTACTAAGTGGAAGATCAAGAGATCACCTATGGAGGAAACTTTTCTAACCTCAAAACTGCCTGATGAAGATCACTGGAATCCAATCCTTCAAAGGTTTCCTGCTCTAGAATTTTCCACACTGATGGGGAAGCTCACAGATCTGTGCCCTGGGAGGAAAGATGAGCTGCTGGCTTCTCTGCCCACTCCAAGGTCACAGAAGAGGTGGAACAGCACCCAGAGCTTCACTCCCTTCTGCTCCTCTCTCCCACTGTCACATTTAATAAGAATCTGGTGGATATGCAAAAGTTAGCATAAATAATGTCAATGTTTTTGTTGAAATGGCCCATAAAATCCGTGCACTGAGGGATGTCCGTGGATTTGTTGTTCCAGTCCCCACCACGCTGCCGGGACGTGGCTGCAGCACGTCGGCCCAGCCCTGAATAGTTTTCTACAACACCTGGTTCGTTGCAGCGCATATTTGAGAGGCTGTCAGGTGTTAAAAACCTGGAGAAACCACAAGTTTTCACTCTGGGCGATATCGGCAGGTCCTGACGAAGGAGTGTCGTTAGGGGAGAGGCAGCAACGAGCCCTTGATTAATGACCTCAGCTTCAGCCAGGAGCTCCAGGAAGGCTCTGGTGGCTGCAGACCTGCAGGGAGGGGTTTGCCTTGTCATGGCTTCTGTACCTTCCCAGGAAAAGGCAGATGGATATGGAGCAAACAGGGATGCCCAGGGAAGGCTGGAAAACGAGGGGAGATCCGGCATTTTCACGTCCTGCCATCCTCACGTGGTCGTTACTCCGAGCAGCAGATCAGCGCCTGGTCAGGCTCACGGTGCTGCTGCTCACTTCACGTCCTGGGGAAAGAAAGGGATCCTGCACGGGGGGAAGGACAGGCAGCTGCCAAAGGAATCAACGGAGAGCTCTGGGCTGCACCACCAAACTTGCTGTGGAGATGAAGAGGAGGCGACTGGACCACCCACAGCAACAGATGGAGCGCTCGCCTCTGGTATTTGGCACCCTGCCTCCCTGGAAATGCCTGCTCTGCTGTCGGTGCTGGGAGTGCTCGGAGATGAGGAGCTTGCTCCTACCGATGGGACGAGGAAAAGGCGCCTCCTTCTCCCAGAGGGGCTGTAGATCTTGGAGAGGACGTCCCCGTCACCGGCCGGAGCTCTGGTGAACACGCAGCGGCCGCTCGCTGTGCTGAGGACTCCAGGGCTGAGGGCTCCCGGTCCTCACTGCAGCACCAATTTAACACCAGTTCAGAGTGTTCACTGGCACCAAATGAAAGTGTTCACTGACACTCCTGCTCCTCTGCTGCCATTTCACAGCCTCTTCCCTCACCTTCTGCTCGCAGCAGCTCATTTGGGCAAAGGGGAAGATCATTCCAGATCATTCCAGGAGGATGTATCCACTGAGCACCTGATAAATGCAGACTGCTATTTAAAATCTGTTTGGTTTGGAGATGCAGTGTCAGTTCTGGGAGGTTTATTTCCATGTTTGGTTTGTTTGGAGAGGGAGTCCACCCATCTGACAAAGGGATTTGATGCTTCTATTCACAATCTTCCCTCCCAGGAATGAGAAGCCACCTCCAGCTCCGTGACTCCACATGAGGTGACCTGTCATCTTTTAAAGACATAAACCACCTCTGCATCGAGGTGAAGGCTCTTGTTCACTGCATGGGACTGGCCACGACTCCTGATACCCAGTGGGATTTCCCAGGAAGCACCATGAGGTCCACAGGAAGAATCACAGAATTACTAAGGCTGGAAGAGACCTCCAAGAACTGAGTCCAACTTCTGTTGATTGCTGCCCACCCCTTGGCTTTGCCCACACATGGGTGAAGTCCTCACTTGTGCTTTAGGGAGAGGTGGATTTTCTGTCCTTCTTTCTTTCATTGCCACTGACAAGAACAGCAAAGATGAGTGGATGTCCATTTTCAAAGATGTGATGTTTAGAAGAACCTCCACATCTGTCAGAGTCGGATGACCAGGCCCTGCTGCTGTTTTTCTCACAGCTCCAACTCCCAGGATGCTCCTGGAGCACTAAAGGTGAAGAGTTCTGGACCAAGATGGGCAAAAGGAGAGAAAGGAGCGTTTAAACCCCAAGTGCCAGCACTGAGAAATGCAGGGTGTGGGCACCCCTTCCAGCTGGGAGGGGCTTCCTTCACCAGGAGTGGAGCTGAAATTAGGTAGGACTGAAGAATGACCAATTCCCCCTCCTCTGCAGTGAAATGGTCACTGAAGGGAACATAATATTTGCCAAGTCTCTTGACACCAGATTGACAGTCCCATCTTTGCTTGCTGCCTCCTGGCATCGCCACGGCCAAACCTCTTCCGTGTTTGAGGCAGGGGCAGCGTCTGCACCGAGCTTAGCAAGTTTCCACCTCATCTGCACCGAGCTTAGCAAGCGTCCACCTCATCTGCTTGTCTTCCTATTTTGGAGCCCCTGTGAGCTGACACAGCTGTGACATGGAAAACGTGGATTTTCCTGAAATGTGTGACTGTAAAACTTCTTTATGTTTGAAAGTAAGAGCAGCAGGTGAGTCTGAACTCCCACTGCCCACAGAGGGTGGGGGCTGAAAAAGCGTCTGCCCACTGCTGCTGTTGGCTAAACACTCTGCATTGCTGGGCTGCTTGTTTTCCCTCTTTTCACTCATGAAACTACTTTTTTTCCTCATAGTTCAGTCACCAGATTTGTAAATATGACCAGTTTGTAATGTTTAATTCTTAAACTACTTGTGGGCGTAACTTGCTGGGTTGGAAGATCCTTTCCTTGCAGGGAAGATCATCCTCACAGTAATAACTTAATGAAGTCCAAAATATGCCCCCAAATCTTTGGTCTGGGGAGCAGGAAAGGGCTTTGTAATCACTGTCTCAGTATGGTGAGTTATGTGTCTGTTGAACACGGAACCATGGAACGGTTTGGGTGGGAAGGGACATTAAAGCCCATCCAGTTCCAACCCCTCCCAGGACACCTTCCACCAGCCCAGCTTGCTCCAAGCCCCGTCCAGCCTGGCCTTGGACACTTCCAGGGATGCAGGGGCAGCCACAGCTGCTCTGGGCATGCCTGTGCCAGGCCTCACTCCCTCCCCGGGAAGGGATTCTCCCCGATATCCGAGGTGCATCCCCATCTCCCGCAGTGCCGTGCGGTCGGACACTCCGCGGCCGTGCCCCGGGGGGTGCTCAGATCCTCACCTTGTGTGAAGGCCTCTGTTCAGATCCTCACCTTGTGTGAAGGCCTCCTGCACGTCCCCCCCGACTCCAGTGAGCGCGTCCTGCGGGCCGTGGGTGGGGGTGGACCCGGCGGAGCTGGATCTGACGGGCATCGGGATGGGGCGGCCGTGGGTGGGCGAGGGCTGTGCCGAGCCCGCCGCCTGCGCCTGCCGGGAGACACCACACACACCTCCCACGTTACACACTTGGCTCGCTCTCTCTCCTCTCTCTCTCTTTTTTTATTTTTTTTTTTTTGGTCAATGGCTAAAAATAATTCTGCAAAAACAAACAAACAAACAAAAAAAGGAACGTGCAAGAAAAGGCTCTGCCCCAGTGAGTGACGATGTGATGCACGAGCGGGGGGTGCCGTGGGAGGACCCTGTGGTGGAGGCACAATGGGTGCAGCACTTCATTGATTCATTTCAATGCATTTTAATAAATCTGGATACTTTTATGTATTTTGCTTTCATAATTTCACACATTTCATGTTTTAAGCATTTATACATGTTACGTATGTATTTTATGCATTTTTATATATTTTATTTATTTTCATGGATGTTATGTATTTTTATATTTTATCTATCTTTATTTAACTTTACTTATTTCTAACATAGTGAATTTTAGGGTTTTATTTTAGATTTTCTTCCAGCCCAACCCACCCCATCTCTGCTGTGCCACTCCAAGAGCCTCAAGAGCAGCTTTGCTCCAGGGGTGCCGGTCCCTGATACAGCTTCTGGTGCCCTCCCTACTCAGTGGCCAGGGACAGCCCCAAGGGTCTGTCAGGTGCTGCCTATGGACTCAAATCCCACTGGATTTCACACCAAATCCCAAACATACACAGAACCACTGAAGGCTCAGAGGAAACTTGTGCAATATTCACTCTGGAAAGCTCCCACTGGCTGCCAAGTTTCTGCCCCAGTAAAGCCTCCAGAGCTTGACTGAGGGTTGGGCACTGGTGTGATGAGAGGGACTGTTGTGAGGAAAAGGGAAGTACAGGAGAGGGCAGAAATGGGCTTATTGGCTCTGTGTTTTAAAAAAGTATGAGCTCAGTATGTCCTCAGTGTGTGGTGCCCACGGGAGAGGAATGAGAAGGACCCACCAAGTGATGCCCCTCGCTGGGCATTTAAGGACCTTTGCAAAGAGACTCACAGGATCCCAGAATGGTTTGGGTGAGAAGGGACCTTAAACCTCATCCAGTGCCACCCCCTGCCATGGGCAGGGACACCTCCCACCAGCCCAGGTTGCTCCAAGCCCCATCCAGCCTGGCCTTGGACACTGCCAGGGATCCAGGGGCAGCCACAGCTTCTCTGCCCAACCTGTGCCAGGGCCTCCCCACCCTCACAGTCAACAATTTCCTCCTGATATCCCATCTCTCCCTGCCCTCTGGCAGTGGGAAGCCATTCCCTGTGTCCTGTCCCTCCATGCCTTGTCCCCAGTCCCTCTCCAGCTCTCCTGGAGCCCCTCCAGGCTCTGGAAGGGGCTCTCAGGTCTCCCTGGATCCTTCTCTTCCCCAGGTGAGCCCCCCAGCTCTCCCAGCCTGGCTCCCACTGTTCCTGGCTGTGCTGCCGGGTGTTCATGACCTGTGACTGTATTTATATTTGCGTTTAAGTGATGTCCCCACACTGCCACCAAGCAAAGGCCACCTGCTCCTCACCAGCCAGGGACTGAGGGCATGGAGCCGCCCGGCCCCTCAGAGCCCCTGCTGGAGTCTGTGCCTTTGGTTTGTGGCCTTTCCTAAGCCTGCTCATGGCTGTGACGTGCAGCAGTTACCGGGGCAACACGGCTGGCGCAGCGGGGACCGTGCGGTGACACCGCCGGCACCGCGACCATCGGTGACAGTGCCAGCACCCTGAGCGTGGTGACACCGACAAGGACCCTGTACAACGGTGACACTGCCGGGACCCTGTGCAAGGTGACACCCCTGACACCCTGCACAGCAGTGGCACCCCCAGCACCCTGTGCCTGGTGACACCGCCAGCACCCCGTGCGACGGTGACAGCTACGGCAACCCTGCACAGAGGTGCCACCACCAGCATCTCAAACAGTGCTGACACCCCAGCACCCTTGCAATGGTGACACCATCAGCACCCTGCACAGAGGTGCCACCACCAGCATCTCAAACAGTGCTGACACCCCAGCACCCTGTGCAATGGTGACACCACCAGCACCCTGCACAGAGATGACACTGCCAGCGCCCCTCACAGCAGTGACACTGCCAGCACTCTGTGCAGTGGTGACGCTGCCAGCACCCCATGATGACACTCCTAATGGTCACACAGCCAGTACCCTTCCAGTGGTGACACTATCAGTGCCACATATAGCGGTGACACCACCAGCACCTCCCCAACAGTGACACCACCATCACCTCCTCTAACAGTGACACCACCATCACCCCTCTAACGGTGACACCACCATTACTCTGCTAACAGTGACACCACCATCACCCCCCTGATGGTGACACCACCATCACCTCCCTAACAGTGACACCACCATCACCTCCCCAACAGTGACACCACCATCACCTCCCTAACAGTGACACCACCATCACCCCCCTGATGGTGACACCACCATTATTCTGCTAACAGTGACACCACCATCACCCCCCTAACGGTGACACCACCATCACACCCCTAACGGTGACACCACCATCGCCCCCCTGATGGTGACACCACCATCACCCCCCTGATGGTGACACCACCATCACCCCGTGACGGTCCCACGGGAGCTCCCGGGGCTGAGATGCTGCTCAGAGTGGACGCAGCTCCGGCTCATCCCCCACTCCCTGCCAGCCCCAAGCTGGTATCTGTAGTAACACGAAAACCCAGTCGTGTGGAAAATTGTCATTTTGAAACTGCATTAATTAATTGGGGATTGAAAGGCGTGAGTGACGTGTCCTTGTGACACAGCGTCGGAAGGGACGGGACTGCAGGAGGGAGACGGCGCCTTTCCATGGAAAAATCTTCCAAAAATGCACGTGTCACACCAGCAGCTTCTGCTCCCTGCACCAAAACCTCAATCTGAACCTTAAAAAACCACCTGAAAATGCCCAGGAAGAGGCAGGAGTGCCTGAATTGGATTAAATCTGTGGCAAAAAATACCCACCCCTTGTGCTCCCAGTGCAGCCTGTGAGATGTGGCACAGAGACAGTGGCTCCTTCCTTCTCCTCCTCCTCCCAGACTGAGTCAGTCACCCAGGGAAGGAAAAACAACCCATGAAGGTGGAAAACCAGGAGGAAACAGGGGGCTAACACCTGCACTGGAGACAGGCTGAGGAACCAGAGCTCCCCTTTCCCCAGGAGGGAGCCAGAGGAGGGGGTGGGAATATTTCCTGTGTTGAATATTTTATGCCTTGAAGCTCGTTCCCCAGGTCACATCTCATGTCCTGGGACCTCAGCACGTGTTCCTGTTAACCATCAGAGACCTACGGACAGTGGCAGGTGTGAGGAGAGGAAAAGCCACAGATTTTGTTACTTGGAATCCCAGAATCATTTGGGTTGGAAAAGCCCTCCCAGCCCATGGATCCCCCCTGTGCCCGATGCCCACCCTGTCCCCCAGCCCAGAGCACTGAGTGCCACGGCCAGGCCTGCCTGGGACACCTCCAGGGCTGGGCACTCCAAACCTCCCTGGGCAGCCCCTGCCAGTGCCTGACCACCCTTTCAGGTGGGAAGGGTCCCAGTGCTGACTCCAGCCCCACAACACATCTCCCTAAACTGTGAGGGGACAGATTTTACCCTTTGTGACAAACACATCCCCAGATTGGCCCATGGTGGGGTTTGCAGATCACAGAATCCCAGAATGGTTTGGGTGGGAAGGGACCTTAAACCTCATCCAGTGCCACCCCTGCCATGGGCAGGGACACCTCCCACCAGCCCAGGTTGCTCCAAGCCCTGTCCAGCCTGGTCTTGGACACTGCCAGGGATCCAGGGGCAGCCACAGCTTCTCTGGGCACCCTGTGCCAGGGCCTGCCCACCCTCACAGCCAAGAATTCCTTCCCAATATCCCATCTAACCCTGCCCTGTGGCAGTGGGAAGTCATTCCCCCTTGTCCTGGCATTATGTTCTTGGACCAAGGGGACACCTTGACCCCAGCAATGCCCATCCTGGTGGGCTGGCAGTGCCCACACCCCCTCCACACGCTCTTCAGTCCTGGGCAAGAGGAAGTACTTTGTCACTGACACTCCTCTTTGAGACACGCTGTCTGCATTTATATTCTTAGAGAAACATGAGAATTTTTCATTTTAATTCCTTTTGAGCCGCTGGGCAGCAGCTGGCCGGGCCCATTTGCATCCCACGGCCAGCGGGGAGGAGGGGATGTCCCTCACCCACCCCGTGAGGCGGTCTCTGGAAAACACAGTGATTCTGACAACACCTCATGAGGTCACATCATGGCACACCACGATGGGGACGGGGCAGGGCTGCGCTCCCTGCTCCCCTCTCCTCGCTCGGTGGCCCCACACGACTCACCCCAACGCGCTCGGGGCTCGAAGGAGGATCCGAAAGTTGTCGCTTCAATGAAGACCTGACAATCACCCTCACGAGAAACACGTGCTGGCCCTGGGCTGCCAGCTGGAACCGTGGTGGCAGCTCCCAGGCCAGGACCCCACTGTCTCTGGCTGCTGCACTGGGACCCCTCCAGCTCCTGAGCTGACAGAGCAGCTCCAACACTGACACTGCTCAAAGCACAGGAGGGACAACACTTTGGACATCAGTGCAATCCATCAGGCAGGTCAAAACCACAGAATTATGGAATCACAGAATCGTTTGGGTTGGAAAAAAACCTCTCAGACCATCGAGTCCAAAACTGCCCCCCAGCACTGCAAGGCCACCACTAGCCCATGTCACCAAGTGCCACCTCCACATGGCTTTTAATCCCTCCAGGGATGGGGACTCCACCCCTGCCCTGAGCAGCTGTGCCAGGGCTGGACAGCCCTTTCCATGAAGGAATGTTCCCTAATATCCAACCTAAACCTCACCTACAGCAACTTGAGGGTTTCCTCTTGTCCTGTCACTTGTTGCCTGGGAAAGGACACCAATGCCAAATGCCATGGTCTGAGCTACACCTGCACATCCACGTGGCACTTGCAGAGGCTGTTACAAAGCTCTCCAATTTCACATCTCTAGGAGGAGGGAAATAACCCAGTCTCCTTATGGATGATGCCTTGGGAAATC